TCTTCGTTGGTTTTCAGAAGCGGTTGATAGGCCCTGTCTCAGGTCGACTATTTTCATTTCCTCGCTCCTCGGTCCTCGGTCTCACCGGAAGTTGATTTGTCTGCGCCATCTTGAGTACCGTCCCATGGCTCTTATTTCTGGTTGAGGACCGAGGATTGAGGAGCGAGGAGCGATAATGGAGGAGCGATAATCGAGGAACCACCACTCCATCCTCCGATGAAATCCTCAGATACTCGCCCCGCCCCCTTACTGTGTATCTCTCACTGATTGGACGATGCAGTGAATGCACTGATCTCATGCTTCTTGTTCTTGACATGAGAGCAGTACCCCAGCGGAGTGAAGAAAATAAATTAAACTCACGAGAGTCACTCCTCAGTTTAAATTGTGTTTTGTTTCAATTCATGTATCATTTAGTTACAAATATGTGATATATCTGAACAACAAAGTGGTCAAAAATCATTTTATTCATTTATTGGAAACATTTTCATGATCGCTTTTTTCGTTTTATATTTTCATTTATTGTCATTTCCATTCAGTCAGTCATTAAGTGCTATTAAAATGTTAATATGTTTCTTCTCTCAATTATTTTATTTCTATTGTGCACTCTAATCAATATTAATCAAACTATTGTTCGTTTATACATTTTAAGAATGGCGTTTATCTTTTTTGAGAATGAGTTCTTATTTGATTTTATTTGTTGGGGTCCACAACAGATGATACAAATGTTTGTGTCAGTAAATGTGTGGCAGGGGTGTTTGTGAAAATAACGGGGACAGAGCTGCTGTCAGACGAACAGCTGTGTGGCGTCATCACAAACGGACGTCGCTTCACGTGACGCTCCGGAGGAATGGACGTCCCATTGCTCTTAAAACTAATTTCCCTGCTTCTCGTGGTTTCCTTGCGTCCCTCCATGCAAGGATTTCATTTAACCGACCTGAGACGGGGCCCCAGGTTGACATACTATTCTTCTTCTTCTTGGAGGGCCACACTCAAGCATACTCAAATACCGCCGTCTGTTGTAGCAGAGTGTAATATCATGGCTTTATTTTGCTTTTTCGAAGGATACAAACATCAGAATAAGGGGTAATAATTTAAATGAGCTGTCCCTTTTGCTGGTCGCACTGTCCCCACAAATATAATGACTTACAAGGAGCACAACAACAACAATAATATCACCATGGGTATGCTATTTCAAGTAAAACATGCAGGCGAAAATGAAATAAAAATGTATTAAATAAACCTCAAATTGACAGTTTAACATTTATTGTTTTGTCTATTAGATTCAAATTAGTTTGGGACATTTTGGAGACTTTAACCTTCAACAGGATCAGTATATTGCCTTTATTTATAAAGGAAATTAGATAAATCCTCCCTCTCTTGACACTTTGCTTTCAGTGCTTTTTTATGGCGCACAAAGCATCAGTCAGTCATGCAGGGATGTTTATACATTCAACAGGGATGTGAGCATAGCCCTCTTACAGGTGTATTGCTTTGTCAATGTGTATACGTGCCTTTGTGTACTGTTTGGGTTATATTCACTGTAACTAAATACATCAACCATTAGTGCATTTCGAAGAGCAGCTAGCAATAAGAAGCAAGCTTTGAAGAGAATGTCGATAACTTTTAAATGTTCTCCATTAGTCCGTTTTGTTTGAGTTTTTAGTTGCCATAACAATTCTCTTGCCATGATGTCTATCCGTCTATCCCTGCTGTTCTCCCATTGGGCGCAGCGTCGTCTACATCATATCCGCTCTTCAGCGCGATTGGCTACATAACCAGGAAGTGTGTTTCCTTTTACTGATTCTGGCAATTGTATTGGTGCATTTAGCTTTAAAATCCAAACGGTTCTCGCCCATTGAAGGCGAGGGGTTTTCAAAACGACACCAGTCATTCTCATGCGTTGACGAAAGAAGTTGTGATTTCGGACAACTGCAACTGTTTTTAAGGTACGTGCTGAATATATTGTGATAATAGTATCTTACTACCTGCTCTGTTGTGTGGTCCTACGTTTTCCTCCGCTTTACATGAACTGTTATTAAGTTTTATCATTAGACCTGAAGTACAACTTTACGTTAACAGTTAACGTTAGCTTACACAGCTTTTGTTGCTATTTTTACTGTCAACGCTTACGTTAGATATCTTCGTGTACGGTGTATTTCATCTAATTATGGCAGTTGTTTAGCTAAATGTTTGTCAGTTGCCGTTAATGAAACCAGCAGTAGTTACTTTATTATATTTCTACTGTTGTTGGACATTATAGACAGGGGTGCATATAAACTGCGGTCAACTCAGCCGTCTCTCAAATTTGCTTGGTCAAATGAGCAGTTCATTTTTGAGTGCGCGATTTATAGCGCCTTTACGGTAATCGCTGAGAAGCGGCACTAAAGCAAGAGTAAAACAATGCGTGTTTTTTCTGCTTCATGCGATACAAATTATTGTTACCATAAATTGTTAGAAAAACTAACACTGTTTGACTCAGTCCTAGTTTGACTGCTACCAACAATAAAATGAAGTACTTTTACTGTCTTTTTTCTGGGTAATACTCTCAAATTCCCCTCCTGAGAACAAAGTCATGCCACTTCTGCTATATTTGATGAGATAAAATGATTTTTAGCCACACATTCTTAATAAAAGTGATACTGTTGGAGTATCAAATATCATGTTTTCTGCCATCTTTGATGAGAGATAAAATAATTTTTTGACATAAGTTCTCAGAGTGGTACTGCTGGACAGAGTACTACTTGGAGTACGACCACAAGTACAATCAAGTACTTTTATCCTGTACTTTTTGAGTAATACCCTAACATACATTATTGTACTCTGGAGGGGAGTTTGACAGGGTAGTACTCAAAAAGTACACGATAAAAGTACTTGATTGTACTTGTGGCAGTAGTCCAAGTAGTACTCTGTCCAGCAGTACCACTTTCACTGAGAACTTATGGCAAAAAAATATTTTATCTCTCAGAGATGCAGTGTTGAATACTAACTCTGGGTAACGGCTGCTGGAAGTCCCGGATGGATGGATGTTAATGTTTGCAGCAGGTCCAGAAAAAGACAAAGATGTAATTCACTAATAATAACTTGTAAAATGTGTCTTTATAGCAACATTTTGAAGATTGTTTAAAGCTGACAAAGCAACACATAGTTATTGAAATGATCAATGTCCAAAGTCAGTTGAAAACTACTAACCAAATTAACTTAAAATGTTTCAGTGAGTCAAAGTCATTCCCCTCGTCTTATTATAACCAGCATTTATTCTCTTGGCCTTTTTTAAAAGCGGAACAATTCCATATTTTTTTCCTGAAGCCGATTTATAAGTTACATTCATTTTGAAATTAGGTCATGTGGATATGCTGAACTGCACTTTTTATAGTTAAATTAACTTGTTAGTGCTCTCTGGTGGACATACTATTTAATTGCAGTGCTGTGATGCACACATTTTTCATGTTCTCATTTGTTTTCAAAAGTTTTCACTTTTTAGTGATATTTAGTGTATAATACCAATAATAACTTTATATAATCTTTCTTGGTGCAGATCCTTTTAACATGCATCAGTGAACTCTACAACCAAAAATGTCTTATCAAGGGGCTGCAGCTTTCATGATGACGCCGCCCTCAGAGTTTCATCAGATCACTCCTGGCCCCATAACTTACAATTTGTCCCTCTGCTATTACAGGATGAGTGCTGTTGCTGTGAATGATGAGAATCGTGGGGTCTGCCCTGGAGGAAAGCAGAACAGCTCAATTAACGACATATTTGCTCTGGATCAGCCCACTGGGAGGCCCTCCATCCTGCGACAGACAGAGAACCTGCCCAGCAAGACGGTACCAAAGGCGGCTAAGGTACAGAACCAGCTCGCTGTTATCCTAAATGTCCTGTCCCCATTTTATCTTGATTCTTTTAACATACTGTTTTTATGATGCCAGGGGAGAAATTATGTACACAATTAGATCTTAACCTAAAGTGATAGGTGGGGGTTTGACGCCTGCTTGTTAACTATTTGTTTGAATTAGTTTTATTAGTTACCTTGTCATATAACAATTGAATGCCCAAATGTATTTACAGCATAGCTCTACACAACTTTAAACAGACTGTGATCAAATGAAAAGCACTTGTGTTTGTTGGTGGTCAAAGCTAAAGGACTGTTTTAAGTCTACTAACATTGTTAGATAAAAATATGTGAAAATGGCCATTTATTACTTTCCTGTTCATCTTTTCTTTTTTTTGAACGGTTTATTTTAATTTTAACAAAACAAGACATATCCTGAGATAGGTCGTTTTCATTCAAATGACAGATGGTTACATGATAAAGTATAGTAAGGAATTAAATAAAGCAAATCCACTCCAGTGATACATCCAGATATATTTTAACTCCGTTCCATCTTTGGGTAATAGTTAACAACAGTATCTGTAATATGTACCTCTGGTCTGAATCGTAAGTGTCTGTAGGTATAGCTCCGATCAAGGACAACATAGGCTCCAGAGGAACAGTCATTTCCAGGATGTTTTTAATCTCCTCTTTAACAGATTTCCAAAATCCTTCAATTACTGGGCAATCCCAAAAGATGTTTGTATGATCCCTTATTTTTCCGCATTTCCTCCAACATAATGCGACCGATGGTCGCATATTTAGAAATTAAAAAAGGAGTGTTAAAAAATCAGATTTTCCGCTTCCAATCAAACTCTTTCCATAACTTGCTATTAACTCCTTTATGGCTGCCCACACATAAGCCTTCCCAGCCTGCATCTTCGATTATAATGTTTAGTTCTAATTCCCATTTATCTCTAACATTCCAGGTATTTTGGGAGTCGTCTGTCATAAGCCTCTTACATAAGTGAGAGACATGTTTCTTATTTGGGAAGCATTTTTCTGCAATACTAATAAAATATTCTTCTATAATGTTTGGATTTTTTTAGACTGCTTCTCTTTCTTTGTGGCTTGTAATATAGTGTCTTATCTGGTACAGTAGATACAAATCATTTGACGAGAGTCCATATTGTTCTTGAAGTTGGGAGAAGGATTTGACATCTGTTCCATCAAACATTTGGTTAATTGTGATAAGACCTTTATCGGCCCATCTTTTAAATCCTCCATCCCTTACAGATGGAAGAAACTCTATATTGCCTAAAATTGGCATGGCTCTTGATATTGATTCTGGGCCCTTGACATTTTTTTTGCCATCCACAACTTTAGGGTATGCTTTATCCATTCGTTCTCAATCTTAACTTTATTTACGGATTTGATATCAATATAAGGCAAAACTGATAACGACACACCCTTCGTTTTACTCTGATCAATCTGTGCCCATCCTGTTTCCTCGTCCTTTCTAATCCAGGCCATTATTGCCGTTAACTGAGCAGCCCAATAATAATATTTTAAATTTGGCAAGCCTAAGCCTCCCTTATCTTTTGGTAGAAAAAGAGTTGCAAGTCTTACTCGGGGTCTCTTATTCTGCCAAATAAACTTAAAGATAAGTCTATTTAACATTTTGAAAATGGAGGCTGTAATTCCCATGGGGAGGGATTGAAATAGGAAGTAGCTTCATTCTTACAGTCTCTACCCTTCCGAATAGCGAGAGGGGGAGAATTTCCCAACGTACCATGTCATTCTTTAGTTGCTTCATTAATATATTCTAGTTAGCTTCAAATAAATGCATTGGGTGGAGAGTAAGGATAATCCCTAGATATCTAAACCCCTGCTTGGACCAGCGGTAAGAAAAATCCTTGTTTAATTGTGTGGGCCAACGCCCTGTTATCATCATTGCCTCTGATTTCATTTTGTATCCCGAAATTGCCCCATATTTGGACAAGCACTGCATAAGGGCTGGAATAAAAGTTAGGGGGTGTTTTATAAAGTTAGTATTTTGTAATCAATGCATAAAAGACTTATGGGGCGATAACTAGTGCACTGTAGGGGGTCTTTTCCCTCGTTATGCAGGACTGGGAGCTTCTGACCACTGTTCATCTTTTCTGAATATGATTTTTTTTTTTTTTTTTATCTATGATCCTAATCAAATTACTTGTGTGTAGGTTTGTTTTCAGACTCCAAGAAGAGACCCTGCGACTAAAAGAATCGTATCTTCTCCATCCAAGTCTCTTAAGATGTCAAGTGTGGATGAGTGTACCAAAGCAATCGAGTCCTTAACTTTGGGTCCAATTAAGTAAGTAACATTTCTGATACTGCGATACTCTTCCAGATAAACGTGTGTTGCATTTAAGTAACCAAGTCTGTTCTGTCTTTATAGTTCTTTACATGATGAACCCAAACAAGGTAAATCATCACACATCATAAAGTTATTTTCCCTGAATGTCTCTAAAGGCTGCAAAAGTGATAATCCTCTTGAATTTTCCACAGAAGTATCATCCTATCCTGACGATGACATGCCCATACAAAGCAAAGGAGGCTATCAGCTGGACTTGGAAAACCTCGATGCTTTCAATCCATTTCAGGGTTCTGTTAAGATGGTCCTCTCCCCCGTGAGGTCTGCTGTTGATAACCCTCCCACAGAGTCTCCAGAAGCAGAGAATATCGCAGAGCAGCCCACCAAAATAGAAACTGCTCTAGATGATACGCTTCCCTTCGCCCCATCTGTGGATCACTCCCTGGTTGACACCTCCTCCAACATCAGCTCCGCAGAGAGCAGCGTGGTCACAGTGTTGAAGGGCCCTGCCATGGAAGAACAAGATTCCTGCACTGCCACACCTGATGAAAAACAACCGTCTCTAAATGTCACTCAAGACTATTGTTCAAGCAGTTTTGTGGAAGATGCTCCACTGCCAACGAAGGGTTCTTATTCTTTGGATTTTGACAACCTTGATGAGGTCAATCCTTTCCAAACGGGTGGCTCTAAAATTCCAAATTCCCCTTTCATTGGAAGCAAGGTGGCAGAAGCAAACCCACCAGTTGAAGAGATGAAGGGAAATGAATCTAAAGAAGCTCAGGATGTTCAACCTGAGATGAAGGGAAATGAATCCACAGAAGCTAAAGATGTTCAACCTGAGATGAAGGGAAATGAATCCACAGAAGCTCAGGATGTTCAACCTGAGATGACACCAGCAGCGGCCCCAATCACAACTCCAGCTGCCGAAACTCCAGCTGCCGAATCCACGTCCCAGCCAGCTGATGCCCATACCCAGGAAAGAGCAGTCAAACTTGAGTTCAATTTTGACGATGGCAGTGAGGTCGAACGTAAACCGCCACCCAAGAAATTGGGCAAAAAGCGATCTGGTGTCAAACCTAAAGAGGAAAAGCCAGAATGTGACGTGAAACCACCTAAAGAAGCTCCAGTGAAGCCTGATGCCAGTGGTGAGGCTGATGTTCCACTCTCCAAAGGGTCTTACTCATTTGACATGGCCAACTTTGATGACCCAAACTTCAATCCCTTTGGCACAAAAGCAAGCATGATGACCAACTCTCCACAGTGTAGCAAGTATGCTGAACCTGTGCTACCTGACCCTGTGATCATGGAACATTTGATTCCAGAGAAAGTGGACATGCCAGCGGAGAAGGAAGCATTGTCATCAGAATGGTATGTTTTCCTTCTTTATCAGAGTGTATTTATCATTTATTTGAAACAGAAACTTCACTTGCTAGTAGAACTTTATTTCACTAAGTTTGTATGCTTTTCTCTCTGTAGCGCAGGAGAGAGTGTCCCGGCTGAAGAAATCCTCCCTGAAACAGAAAGAGATGTAATGCAGTTTGATACAATCTTTATCCATTTTACATTCCCTTGTTTGAATGTTTTTTTCAAAGACATACATTTTTATTTTTATGAAATGACAGGATGCTAAAGACAAGGCGGCTCCGGATCATGACTTCGGATTTCTACTCGAAGTTCAACAGGAAGTTCAGCAACCCACTGAGAGTCTTCCTGGCCGCTTTGATCTGTGTCAACCTGAGCAGAAGACGCAGACCGCCCAGCCAGAATTCAATGAGTTTGTTCCTGGAACGATGTGTAAGGAAACATTAGACTCTATTTGGTCCAGTTTCCACAAAGATCCCAAATGTTTCTTTTACCCTCACTTGACCTTTAGTATGCAGTTTGTGATAACAGAAAAACACAGTTAATGTCACCATTTGTGAAGCATGATGTACATACCGGTAAATGTAATCCTTATATCATCTATATCTTTAGTCATGGCCAATGACTTAGATGGACAAATGGATTACCTGGAACAGTTTGGGTCCCGCAGTGTAAGTACTCACTCTGCGTATCCTGTCCTGAATGGCTACCTTTTGTTGATTGTCAGTGCATGACATAAATTAACTTAAATATTTCTTTTGTCAACAGTTCAAGGAATCTGCATTGAGGAAACAATCCTTGTACCTTAAATTCGACCCCCTGATGAGAGAAAGCCCCAAGAAGTGTGTAGCCCCCGGGGCTCAGGCCCCCGTGCCTCGCCCCGCTGCCTTTGTTTCACGGTATGACGTACTTCTGTTTCCACTCACTCTGATTACTGCTGTCACTGAACGTTAGAGCTGAATTTGTTCCGCTTTTGACATCTTCTTCAACAAAATGAGATGTGTCTGAAATGTAACCACGTTGACCACTTGACAAGTAAGGTTGTTTTTTTTTTTTTCAAACTCAGGCTTGAAACTTCTCAGATGCCAGAAAAGTATGCAAGCGGAGCACAAAGGGATGATTTCCAACTGTTTGATCCAGTGAGTCACTGTAACGATTCCACCACTGACTGCATGGCAATGTTTCTTAAAATAAGTGTGGAAATGACATTCAATGCTTCGCCTAACCTGATTTATTCACACTGGAACTGTCGTCTAGGCTTCCCCAATCCTTGCAGACCTCGTCCCTCCTTTCCCTCAGCCAGAGAACACAGAGGAGGCCATTATTGAAGTGCTGAGGTACAGTCAGCAGGACATGGACGCCGCCATCGTCAGAGTCCAGGCACAAGTATGTCCTGCTCAGTGTTTGTTCATTTGACAAATAACAGTCAGGAAGAGGGTTTCTGTTTGAAGTCCATTTTGTTTGTGTCTTTGTGAATACACAACCATTTGTAAAGACCACAATCACGTGACTATATTATGGTTTCTGTGGTAATCCAAACAATCCCCAGAGTTGTTTAGAGCAATCTGATTCAACACAAGCTAAATAGAGAAATGTGTAACAGGCAATTGTCAGTGATTGTTCGATTTACAGGGTTTTTCATCAATGTTTTTAAAAAATAAAAGGTGGTTTTGTATAAACTTAACATTTTGTTACTCAAACATACAGGTTTCTATAAATGTACATTAAAAGTCGCCTCTTGATTTGAAACATTTTATACGTAATCCCTTAATATTAATAAATAACAATAATTGTCTTACTTTCAAATAGGCAAAGGACACAGAGGATCAATGGAGTGCAAAATATAAAAGGACACTTGACGATGGTCAAGAAATGAGGTAGGCTCGTTTTGAGTTTGTTTAACATTAAAAAAAAAACATTTAATTTTTAAAGGAAATTTGACAACTTTTAATTATTTTTTACAGGAAAATAATTGCAGAGTTTGAGCTCATGATTGCTAAAATGCTGGGTAAGTTAATATATGTTATGTACGTGCCTCAGTCTTGGGACTTTTCGGTGTCATGATAAGAGCTTTTAACTCTTGTTTTCAGCTGATCAAGAGAAAGAGAGGGAGGTGGCCCAGACGAAGCTCACTGCGGCCCTTATCGAAAAGGAGCAGGTCTCCAGTGACCTGAACACCATGGAGAGATCGTGCTCCGACCTGTTCAAGAGACTGGACAAGTACAAGGATGTTGTTGAGGGCTTCAAAAAGGTTAGAAAACAACACTTGCCCAGATATAATCCACAAATTGCATGACGTAGTTTAAGGAAATAGCAGTGGCATTATGATTGGTAACATGTTTCCTGTGGCCTTCCTGCAGAATGAAGAGACTCTGAAAGCCTGTGCTCAGGACTATCTGGAAAGGATCAGAAAGGAGGAGCAGCGCTACAAGACCCTTAAAGCCCACGCTGAGGAGAAGATTGGCCAGTAAGAAACCTCACTGCACTCTGTTGAAAGTCTCAAATGCAAGACTTGCAGCGTTTAACTGACATCTGTTGTCCTTCAGAGCAAACGGGGAGATTAATGAGGTTCGGTACAAGAACAAGTCTGAGACATCTGCCCTCCAAGCCCAGCTGAGGAGGGAGCAGCTGAAGGTGCAGTCGCTGGAGAAGAGCCTGGTCCAGAAGGTGAGAGAAGAGGACAGCATTACATGGCGGTTATTTGTTTATAAATCTATTAAATATCAAATATTCTATAATTTTTCCCTTTTTATTTTTTGTAGGAAAAAGAGGCAGAAGATCTCACCACACTTTGTGATGAGCTCATCAGCAAAGTCCAGAGGGGTTGAGCTCATTTGTAAATCGTGTACATTTTAATGCTTTTCTTTCCTGTTCTTCATTGTTCCTGTCCTTTTTCATTCCTTTATGTTGTGCTTTGTTTGTCTTTATCAATGTTATTAAAATACTGTAAAAAGAGAAGTTAATAAAGATAATTTAATCTTTAATAAAGAGTTGATGAAAATGATTACAATTGTCTGTCTTTTTTGTGTGAATTTTATAGTTTTGAATTTCTGCCTGATTTCAAACCACTAGGGGGCAGCCTTGCCTTCATGATGGGTTGTAGGTTCATGGATTTGAATCTTTATTCACGGATATGGAAGTAACATGGCTGTTGAACCCTAAAACCAAAGTGTTCTGTGCAGACCCTTTCCTTTAGACCCACAGAGTGATTCAGTGCACTCACTCCTCACCTGTCTGGAGCCAAAGCTCATCCCGTCCTGTAGTGCTCACAACTACAGGCGCTCACCTGATACAATGCCCCCCTTCTTTCCTGAGCAGTCGCAGGGTCCTGTCACATCACTCCCAGAGGCAGGACAATGCACTTCCTAAATGGTGAAAGGAAATCCTAGCTAGATTGGAGTTGAATGAGGTGGTAGTGCGGACCAGGGGGCAGGCGGAGAGGGGGCGACTCTCTTAAATGGAAAAAGATGCTGGTCACTCGGTGTAGTCTTGCAGGGGCCATCACTCATCTGAAGAGGAGGACTGTGTGAGGCTGCTCCTGTGTCTATTCCCTCGTTCTTCACAGCATCTGTCCCTCTGCTGGCTGCCCTCTGTGTCACCCACAGCAGACACTGCTCACAGGAGGAAAGCTGACCTGTCTGTGCCCGACTGTGCAGACACTGATCTTATTCACAGGGATTGTATGCCTTTTTTAAAGTATATTTATAAATGTAAAGAGAGCATTGATCTTCCCGAGGCATGTCACTTGTTTCAGGCCATTTAATTAAACCATCAAACTTTTTTATAAGATTTAGTTTTTGAACATAATACATAAGATTGTCAAATACAACCAATAACATACAGAAACATTTAAATATTGGCATGACTAAATGAGATTAAACAGGGAGACTCAAATGTACTATGCACAACAGTATACTTTAATAACATTACATATGTAAAACACCTTATTCTGAAAAATAAACTTTGATACATTTTTTTTTTTAGCAAAATAAATTAAATATTCATAACTCAAATTGATTATAAAATGACTAAAGCTTCATACACTGGGTGGAGAAGGTGGCATCCTCTGCTGGTTTGTGTCAACATGCTAGATGCCATGAAATGATAACGAAGACCAATTTAGTTAACATGGAATCACAATTATTCCATCCCTTCAAGTCCGAGCTAAGGTTTGCGTGCAATTTAAAAACTCACCAGTCGACTATCACTTACCAGAGGATAACGTAAGGGATGAAGAAAGGTAATAAAAAGGATAGTGGTCAGCTTTCGAAACATTCTGCATCTTTAAAAAAAACAAAAGGACTACCTGAGTAGGGCACAAAACCAGCCCTTTTGTAAATCTGGAGTACCATTACCATCTTCTTTACCAGGCAGAACCTACTGCGCTCCAACAGCTGAATCAGTGAAAGGTAAAAACTCACCTCCATTTTCAGCTACACCTCAAGTAGGAACACTTCTCAGCTGGTGTGAATAGCTGCGGTTAAACTCACACGCAAAAAAACGTCCTTGTCCTTTTTGTATTAAGTGCACAACAAGGGTTCATGGATTTTTAGTGGTGTGAGAATATGACGGGTCACAAATAAGCACCAAATATGGAAGTTTGGATGTAAAAACACAAAGTATGTGTCACTGGCCACTGTTTTTTCGCGCACATGCACACACTCCAGCTACGTGAAGAGTCTTTAAAGAGTAATGCCAAGTGTTAGGGAGCCACTGTTCAGTCCCAGAGCTCATTGTCCCTCTTTGGCACCGAGGCTAACACTGAAAATGAATGTGTTGATGCTGATGTACTTTCCCGTCCACGTGGGAGTGGGTGTGCGTGTGAATGTCAGTGTAGATTTTGGGGTAGATTTTAGGGGGGATTGTCGTTCCTCCCTGTGCGAGGAGGAGCTGCTGCTGCGCCAGGTACTCCTCATAGTTCATGGAGCTCATGCAGTCTTTCTCTGGGCTGCAGGAGCTGGAGGAGGCAGCCACGCACCCCCGCTCCCTCTCTCGGTACGGCAGCCGGTGGGAGCCCTGCTGCAGGACCTGTGCAGGAGCAGCTGCATTCGAGGGAGGGGGGCAGTGCTTTCTGCTCTGGCAGAACCACAGCAGCACGGTGCCAAAGATGAACACTATTCCAGCAGGGATGCCGATGATGACGGGCCAGGGGAGGGAGCTGGAGGTCGGCGAGAACATAGGCATGATGGGAGGCTTTGTGTCTGCAAAAAGAAGAAGGCCAAAACAAAAATCAGAACAGCTTTACAACTCTCCATTGTTGCCAGGAGTTAGTTTAGTGCACAGCTGAAATGCTCAAAGGAATAGTTTCACCCTTAAATCAAAGATACATACATTTCCTCTAAGCTGTAGTGCCATGTTTCAATCTAAATGGTTGTGGTGTGAGTTGCCAAGTGTTTCAAAATGGGCAGTAAAGATGTCTGCCTTTTCTCAAATATAATGGTAATAGATGCTTTTGGCGTATCGGGTAACCGGCTAATGATCTCTGAAAAAAAGACATTGCTGGTGAGTTGTAATATTTGAACTTCAATTACCACAACCAAGTTCACCATCTAGTTCCATTATATCCAAAATAAGGAAGACATTGCTATCTTCAGCACATTGATAAAGATAACCCAAAACATTAAAAGAAGAATATGAATTGAAGGATTACTGTCTCTTTAAGGCCTGAAACAATTGATCATGTCAAGTTATTATTTTGTTGATTAATGTTTTGGTTCAGCATTTAGCCAAACCCATTTTACCGAGGTGGGTTCTGTCCAAAGGTCATGTGACGACTGAGGAAGACCGTGAGAGGAGACTGACAGCTCTGCAATCAGCTAGTCAGTGGACCTTGTCAAATCGCATATGTTGGATTTACAATGATATGAAGCGGAAAAAGTTGTGTTTTTTTCATTTCTTACAACAATGTCCTACGAAACAATAACTCAACCCAAAAAAACACGATCGTATAGCTCGACTGCCTATTTAATTTGACAGGTATTCATTTATCGGGTGAAAAATAACACAGGTCCAAAACATATCTGAAATAAAACAGATGATAACAAAACATCTGTGGTTAACATTGCTTTGTTGGCATCTGTCCTCACTGATTCTTTTCTCTTTAAAATAAACATCCGAATAAAATACACAAACTAATAGCACAGACCCTTGCCCAGGCGGCTGATGTGTTGCTCTGCAGTGTGTCTGTAAGGGGAACAGTGTGTTCCCCGGGCCTCACCTGGCAGCACAGTGAGGAAGGCGCTGCGGAAGCTGTAGCCCATGGTGTTGGCGCCTAAGCAGATGTACATGCCAGCGTCCTCCTCCTTGGCACGAGTAATGAGCAGCTTGTTGAGGTAGGAGCCGTCGGGTCGTGACCACACCTCCCCCATGGGCAGCACCACGAACCGGTGGTCCCCCACCTCGATGGTGGAGTTGTAGCGACTCTCCTCGTGAGACTCCACGCGTTTGAGCCACTGAATAACCGGCTTCACGTCGCTCCTCACTTTGCACTGGAACGACGTGGTGCCTCCGTAGTCTACCGTCGTGTTGACCGGGTGAGTGCCGGTCAAAATAGGCTTGGAGTTGGTCCTCTCTGCAGGAACACAGAGAAAAGAAACGTCAAAACACAGGGATATTTTTTTGACATGACAGCCTCGAAAATGTCTTAGTTGTCGGTACCCTTATTAGCCTCGGGCTCAGGACTTATAATTGACAGAGAGGGAGCAATACCACATGTAACACAAGAAGTATGTGTGATTAGTTGAGTTTCCTCTCTTTCTTTGCTCGTGGTTGTACAGCACACATTTCTCATGGGAAGAAGGGGGGGGGGGGCAGTTGGTCTGGCAGACAGCTGGGCTTTAATCAGCTCCAGATTGGGTGGAGGGTCTCCGAGTTAAACAGTCGCCCTCTTTCTCTTTCTCCCTCTCTCTCTCTCTCCCTCTCTCTCTCTCTCTCTCTCTCTCTCTCCCCCTCTCTCTCCCCCTATGCAAACACCAGGGCACAAGCCCTCAGTCTTGAGCCTGCTTCCTCAATATGCTTCTCATATACATGATTACCCAAGCACGTTCATCCATGCAGAAAGGATATGAATAAGACCTGCTGATCGCAATCAGACGTCAGGCGTAGGTAGATCAGAGAGAAGATTTTTTAAAGGTTACCTCGGTTAAAATCAGAACCACAATTACAAGTACTACGTTGTTTTAATTTCCCCGCAGCAATGTATAAAAGGTCACAAAAGTAGTTCATACAAACAGCAGTAATCAAGTAAATGAATCACCTCGGCCTCATCTGTTAGCAGTTATACCTGCAGATGAATATGTTTGGTATGCGTACAGCTCAGACCCTCTGTTGGTTTTTGTTTGCTGTCAAATATGTAGAATTAATGGAGCGTGGTGGTGTTTTTTTTATGTTTATAAGACTCTTGGAAGAATAAACCAGTTGTGTTTTAAAGAGGTCCTTATGTAATGAATCAAATACCATCTGTGGGGTACTCACGTATGACCTCGACTTTATACGTGGCGTTGATTTCTCCGGCCCGATTGGAGACCCTGCAGGTGTATTTGCCGCTGTGCTCTGGTGTCAAGTTTTTCAGACTTAGAGTCCACCTCTTCTGGCGGCCTTCTCCGACCTCCTGCTCCGTCAGCGGCCTGTCGTCCTTCAGCCACACGATGTCCGGTCGAGGGTTTCCATTGGCCGTGCATTTGAGCCGCACCGAGCTGCCGACGGGTCGAGCTATCACGCGTTTTCTCATTTTAGCAGGCTGAGAGAAGCGGGGACGCACTTTAAGGGACAGAAGAAGAAATATCAAGTCTCATATTTCAGCAGTGAATACATGAGTTGAGTTGATGATATGATTCGGTTTTCTTCAAGGTTGTATCTTCCTGGTCGAATGTACTTATTGTAAGTCGTTTTGGATAAAAGCGTCAGCTAAATGCAATGTAATAATGTAATAAAAGTAATAAAGTTGACAGAGGAAGATGCATCCAAACGACACACAGAATGGTTTGCAAAATGTTGAAATGTGAT